GCTTCATGGGGGTGGGGAATAATCAGGTTAAAGGAGAGAAAAGACAGGATGAGGAAAGCAGAGAGTTTTTGCAGACCCCCATTTGAAAAGGATTAGCTAAGTAGCCTAGAGATGATGCACTAGTGGTAAAAGTAATAATTCCACCACACTAAAAAAGCAGGAGATGCTGCAATTTGTGTCACATGCATTTCCAAACACCTATGCAGGGTTATTAACATAGCGCCTGCCTATAGCTGGTACGATAGTCCCTCACCTGCAAGAGAACAAAAAATACTCCAGAAAGTGACATACTCCCTTTACACCCTGGCCATGTAGTTACTCTACTCAAATGTATTGTGTGTCGCAGGGCAGGCCACGAACATGTGTGAAGTGTTGCCTTAGGAAATGAGATGTGTTCCGCTTCTATGGAAATGTGATTGTAAGAGAGATCAAACCACCAGCTGGGACATGGCCACTGTTAGCTGGAGCTCTGCCTTTACCTGCTCCCGCCAGCTTCTGTGCTGCACCTGCCTTGGCTCTGGGATGAAGAGAGACTCCCTAGCCATCCCCTTGCCCTTCCTCCTGAGAGGGGGACTTAGTGTGATTGTGACAACGAAGCCAAATAAAGTCTTAGTTCGAAAGCCCTGAGCTGTCTCATATTTACTGTTGTGGGATTCAGAAGTAGCTCCTAGAAACCTGAGGGGCTACAGCAGGTGGAGACTAGAGTCAGATTTACCTTCCTTCCCCTGTGTGACCTCTGATGCTCTCTGCCGAAGCAGCAAAGCCACCTTGTACCTTCTCTGTCAAAATTTCCCAGCTTCTGTCCATTTGTTTCCTCAGGATGTGTGACTGCCATCTTCTGACCAATAGCAGGTTTACAGTCCTAGCCTCTTCCAGACAAGGGATACATGCCCCAAATTGAACTAGTTGGGATTTCGGTCTTCTCTAGCTGGGGAAGTGGCATAACTCTACCAGTCTAATTAGAGGTATACTGGTATAACTCCTCATGTGCTCACTTAATCAGCAATTACATTGATACAACTGTCCCTGTTAAAGTAGACCACAATGATAAATAGCTAAATTCCCCCATCCAGGCAAGCCTTTCTAGTCAGTCTGTGTGACAGCTGGGCACACATTACACACATGTGAAATACTGCTTTCATTTGGTGGGAGTCGCTCATCCCAATGACTGAGCCTTACAAAACCATTAGTATTAAGAAAAAGCTATAGGGAGCCAAGGATGTCAATGGCCAAATTCTCACTATATTCACTGGGGGGAGGATTAAGCTCTACCCAGCTCTATATAGTTCATTGCATTTTTCCAAGGTGCTGAAGGGCTTAAAAATAACCTTGCGCTGCTTGAATTTGCCTGGAAAATGAGCACCACACAGGCCACCATGGGAATGCTTTTTTTTCTTTCCTTTCAAAGCACACTGCATTTGGGCTGCAAGACGCAGCCCTGTAGTTGTTGGCTCTTCTACTGTGGTCAAGGCAGGACTGTTCCCCTCACCCAGGTCCATATAAAAATGGTGTTTCCCTGTTAGCGGCAGCAGGAGCTCTATGCAGTCAGGAGGCAGGCACTTTAACAGGCTTGATCAGCAATAGCGTGTGTGTGTTGGGGTGGGAGGTGTCACCGTTCTACAGCCTCCCCTGGCTTCTTAGTCCCCCATTCATCTTACTTCTGACCAATCCTCTTTCCTGAGCTCTTGTGCCTCATTCTGCTGTGAAGGTAGAATCCATAAACAAGAACTGAGATACATTTTAAGCTCATGGGATTTTCTTCTCTGTGCACCTTGAGGGGCACACTGGTTTCCCCTTGCCCCTGCATGAGCTGAATCCAAACTCCAGAGCCCTAACCTGCTCTGCTATTTTCTAACACTTACTCTTCATGTGCACTGCATTAGCAAGGCATGACCACTTACAGCTTGTCTCAGAAATGCAGGAAGTGGATCCAAGTTCTAGAAATTCTTCCATACTTCATGGTATAATGAGGGGTTTTCTAAATGCTAATGAGGCAAATGCCATTGAAACGACTCTCCCTCTGGTGTCCAGCACTTGATCTTCCTCTTAGATTTTTTTCAGTAACAAGCTTTATAATAAACTTCAAAAGAGAGCAAGAAAAGGGCAAGCCGGCAGGCTTCTATGAAAAGCTAAAGAAAAGAAGGGATCCTGGCCACTAAACTGCAAGGAGCCATGAATATGCAGGCCAACAAGGGGCTAAGCAGGGATTTGACTGAATGTCAGACATGCTAGTTAGGCAGCAAAGGAGCCTAGAAGAGGACAGACACGTGTGTCGTTGCCCTCCCTTCTGCATACTCCCAGATGAGGATGTAGAGCTGGTATAGAGGCCTGCTAGCAGAACTGGTGAAGAGTCCTGGACAGTGTCCCCTGCGTTACAGCTAATCTCTACTTCCTACGGGCCAGAGCCGGGGCTGCACTAACTTACCCTGGGAGCCAAGCATCCCCAGCATATAGGGGACAATAAGATGGCTTAAAGGTACCTTCATTCACCTCTCCACCCCTGTACCTGGCCTGAGTGTATAGCACGATACAGTGTCCATTCAGCAATCACATTCTCTTCATTGATGGTGGGTGTTTCACTTTCAAGCCACTGATGTTTGAGAGGGTTTATTTATGTGATGAGTGTGCACACTCAGTAAAACATACGGCAGGAGTTGATGCACGAGGCCAGATCCTCCGTGCATGTCATTCAGTGTAGCACTAGAGTCAGGTCAAAGGAGCAATGCTGCTGCTTTACACCAATTGAGGATCCGGTCCACCTTGTTCACTCTTGCTCACAAGATGGTGCGCACTGTTCCTCGCTATTGTGCTACTCAGCTACCCCATTCAAGAAGAGAAAACCATTTGAACTTGAAAGTAACTTTTTAAATGATCCCGGTAGCCCCCGGAGCTGCCTGACACCATTCAGATATTTTAAAGTGATAGGTTTGATTTCGTGACTTTTGATTTCCATGGTGTTTAAGCCTGTTCCGCGTTTTGTCTGTTTTGAGTGTGAGCACCATGGAAAGAGAAGGAAATGTTCCCTTCTGTGTGACAGATGACAGGCACTGTTCCTGCTGGAGCTCCCCTATTGGCTGAGAGAGGGTGACATCACTGAACAAGGAAGCCAAGTCGAGCGAGCAAGCGGCAGAGTTTCCATCTGCTGGGAGGGACCAGTTCTGTGCATCATTCAGCCACAAAACACCCCGGCCCACATTTTCCACTTGGGCTGCCTGTGGCTAATTGCTTAAATCCTTCTCTGTGTGTCTCGCCACAGGGAGCCGACAGTTCAGGATGCTGAGTTCTTGTGGTTCCCGTTGAAATGCTGGCCCAATGTGTTATGAATCCCTCTGTGCTCCATGCCATCACATCATAGCAGAAATCCCCAGTGCACTGTTTCATGCTTATTAAAGCAAAACACCACAGTGCCCCCACACAATGCGCTGTGTGCCAGGGCCCTGGGAGCTTTCAAAGTTAACACACTGAGAACTAATTATCAGGGTAAAAATAGGAATTAGCAGCCTTACTGCATCCAGCCAGAAGGTCTAGGAAAGGCCTGACAAAATGCTCATTAGAGCATCTTGGGGAAAACCCAGAACTGATTTGTTCAAGGGGCTGTTTCTTCTTTTGCCAGGAAGGAGGGAACAGGCAACACCTCCAAAACTTGTATTACTGCAAGTGGGTCAGGCTCAGGCCGCTTGGATGAAGGGTGTGAGTGTGACTTGAGGGTGGATAGGGGACCTTGGATTATACAATAACCCCACCTTTGCCTTTCTTGCCTCCATAAGGGAAACAAAAACACATGCACCTACACAGACTGCAACAGGGAGTTACTTGCACACACAGTTGGTGAGCTTTATCCATCCATCCATCCTTAATAAATCAGATTGCTACTCTCACAACCGCCCTGTGACAGGGCACCTGCCCTGCACTGACCCTTTAAGGCCAAGACTCAGGCTCTGAGCTGGGGCTGAGAACAGAGAGGGCAGCTGAGGCTGTTAGGGCTAGTGAGAGTCCAGCTGGCAGCTATCTAGTGAAGCACAGTTTGCTTAGAGGGGGGAGAGCCAGTAAAGGGCTGACTACAGAGGAAGCAGGGGCTCCGAGGAGGGAGAACAGCTGGGGATAGCAAGCTAAGGCTGGGAGAGGGCTAGCCAAGACTCTCCCTGGCTAGGGGCCGGAGGCAAGGCCCAGGGTTTGGAGGCAGATTACAAGGCAGCCTAGGTAAGCGGGGCAGTAGGGATAACCCTAATGCTAATGATGAGCAACCTATACAGGCTGTAACTTGCCCTGAGAGGGGCTAGATGAGGACAGTCAGGGGGCACAGAGGCACGGTGGGGAGTGTGCACCCTGACATGCTCTCTTGGGAATCTTTCTTCCCATGATAATCCAGATCTCCCTCCCCCCCCAGATGCACTCTATCCCTTAGAAGACCAGTTTTATGTGACAATCCATATTGCAATGCATCCCTGCCCCCAGTGTGCATACATGTTTGGAAATCTAATATGTCAAAACTGGATCCCTCCTTAAAAATCTGAATTAACTCCCCCTTCCTTTTCTCTCTCACACACATTCACCTTGTGAGATCCTGTTTTATTGAACAATCCAGTATGACGCTCCCTATGTGCCCTTTACCACCCCCACCCCTGTGTTCTTCAGCAAGAGGAATCCAGTTTTTTGCAAGCACACCCGGGATTCCCAGCAGAGAGAAACAATGCAACAGCTGCTGCTCCTTATGGCAGGCAGCAGCAGCTCAGTGCTGTGATGTGAGGAGAGCCCCTAGCTGCAGAGTTAGTCCCAGTTGCAAGTGATCAGTTGATCTGGGAGAGAAAAGGATTCCTGGGGAACTGACCTGGGGCACTAATGAGGATCCAGAAGAGTGAGAGGATCCAAAAGATTTTTAATCCCCCATCCCCTCCCCCTTTGCCAGTCTTCAACATCTCTCTTCCTCCAGCATCCTGGCCCCTCTCTCCTGATTGGACCACCTACTCTCCCTCCCATCAGTTTCATGCGGTCTACAGCAATGCATTGTGGGAAATTCCCAAGGGTTTTTTTTCCTCTCTTCCTTCCTCCCTCCTCTCTGCGGAACAGCCAGCTTTCAAGGTGTGACTTGTGCGAACCACAGTCTGGGGAGAAAAGGTAGGAGCTGCTGCTTTTTATAACTATTCTTCCATACATGTCAAAGTCACAGAGGGAGAGGAACACACCAGCTTGAGCCTGTGGAAAGGGGTGTGTGTATGGGGGAGGGGATGTTAGTGCTTGTATGCAGGTGGAGAGAGAGTGATCTGGATTTGCCTGTTGAAGGTGAGTATGCTCTCATTGCTGCAGCGGTGTGGGGGAGGTCATAGGATTGTCAAGCCAAATGCATTTGAACTGCTAGCAATTGCCTCTATTGATGCATTTGTCTCTATCCACCCAGGCAGTGCAGTCTGGCCAAAACAACAGTGAATGCAGAGGAGGGCTCACTTTGAATGCCTTCCGTTCCAAACCCAGCTCTCCTATGTTATGCCTTGCTCCATGAAGGTCAGAGAGTTAGGGGAGACATTCACACAAGTGTGACTGCTGCATGTTCCTAAAAGTGAGCTGGACAACCTGCATGGCTCTGGGTCACTTACTTATGGTTTTCAGGAGGTACCACTATTGCATAATTATTGCTGTGGATGCTGCTGAGAATTTCTACTGATTTCTGGGGGAATGTTTAGCATTTGTTCTAAAACAGATTAGAAATGGAGCATGGCAACTGCATGCTGGAAATTCATGTATTTAACTAAATAAAAGAACAGATGAGTTGATTAGGAAATCCATTTCTTTTTTAAACTGTGTCATCAGCTAAAATATCTCCAATAGGAAAAAAGGCCTTTAAAAAACAAATCACCAGCCTCTGTACATTTTTTTTTTTCAATCTTGAATGGATTATTTTGTTCAGTCTCATTTGCATTCTGTATTGACTGTTTCATTTCTCTGTTTAATTAGTCATTAATCCTGCAAGCAGGATGTTACATAAAAAAATGCACTTTGAAATTCCCATCAACCCAATTAGTAATTGACATTTTCCTGCTCCAAGGATTAGTCTTTTTTTGGGGGGGGAAAAAAATCCTTAGGATTTTTTCTGTATGGTGCTAGAAAGAGGTATGTGTTAGATTCTGCCAAAGGAGGGGACCTAAAGATGCTAGCTACAATATCATTTCCCTTAAGCTGTCAAAGCAGGCTGTAACAAATGAGTGGGACACAGCAAGGACACAGACAAAGCTAGAATCCCTTAACCTTCTGGCTGCAAAGAGGCACGGATGTTTAGATCATTACGGGGGAACCTCACTCAATGTAAATACATATTATCTCTAATTCCTACCCTCTGGTTTCTAATGTGTAGTTTCTGGAGTGTTTTAGGAGAGATGTTTATATCTAGTCAGATGTTTTTACTTCCTCTTTGTCTCTGTGTCTTCACGATGTAAAAGTGAAAATACCTGTTGATTTGGTCTCGGAGCTTCTAATTAAGTGGTGTGTGCATACCGTGTGATCCTGGTTCTGATGGTGCCCCAGAGTAGGTAAGGGGCAGATGTTATCCTGTGAACTTCTCCTGCATGGGGGCAGCAGGGGGCAAAAGCTGAGGTCTGCCCACGGCTTTTCCATCTGCTGGGGAAGGATTGGTGTAGGGATGACATAGGGAGAAAGGGGAGGGCTTGAGATGACTTAGTGTATTTGGTGGGCCTCACTCTCAGCCACCTAGAAGTTTGACCTTCATGGTTTTGACCTTCATTTTTCTTTCTTCCTTTCCGGGTGCGGGGCATGAGCCAGGTTATGCTTTTACCCCTGCTAGTCGGTAGAGACATGCCAAGGCCAAAGCTGGGCTAGCTTCCAGGCACAATGACATCTATTCTGTTTGGCCAAGCCTCGGGCTGAGTCGGGGAAAACATCGCAGCCCAGGAGCAGGGATATTATATAGACAAGCGCTTGTTATAGTTAACATAGAATGAGAAGGCAATGGAGGTTGGTCATGTGCTCTTCAGTAGTTCCTTTGTTGGCATACGTGCCTGGTGCCTGCCAGGGGAGGGAGTGCGGGGGGAGGGGAAGTCATGCAGAGAAACTGGGAGCCCCCCATTTAGCATCAAAATTTTAGCAGGGGCCTAGGAGGGCAGTGCACCTCCAGGGTGCTACCATGAGTTGTCTGTGTTTTGTTGGCATTAGCACTGGGGCAGAGGGAGATTAAGTCTTTTGTTGCTTAGCTAAGTAAATCGCAGGTGTGCATTGCCCAGACCCCTCCCAGGGGGATGTGTGCTGTTCTCTGCTGTTGGTCCCAGCCTCAGTCTGAAGCTGTAGCTGCTGTGGCTTCATCGGTTTCAAAGGCAAAGCGACAGATTTAGGTCCCTCTGTAATGCACAGAGGGTAAAATTTGGGATCTTGTTTGTGCACTGAAAATTGCCCGTCCAGTCTTTTTGTCTGCTACAGCTCAGCTAATAGGGGAATTGTTGGCGACATGGATAGAACATTATATAGTCTGGAACTCCATTAGGGGAGAACAGAAGAGACTAGGTATTAGGAATGCTAATAAGCTAAATGGAGATGTCAGGCATTTGGTATTATTATTTGGCAGTCCAGAGATTATCCTTCCCTTTTCTTTGCGTCTGTTCTTGTGAGGGAGGTGAGTCTGTTGATTTACAATCAAGAAGCAAACTTGAGGGTGAGGAAGGACTTCATGAAGGGGGATAAAGTGTCAATCCTCTGGAAGTCACAATCCCCCATTGAGGGTTGAGCACATAGGAAAAATATGGTGCGATCAGACAGAGAAGTAGCACCCAAGTGAAGCTGCAAGCCTGACATGTATAGCATAATGCACTTGGCAGTTTATTCAACAAAGGAACTGAATCCCATTCTTGCTGGTTTTTTTTTTTTTTTTTTGGCCACTGATTTCAAAGGGAGCAATTTCTGGGAAGCCCACAAAGATACAGGAACAATTGCTGAGAGCCCTTAAACTCTAAACCCTGTTTCTGATCAAAGCCACTTTAAGGGTACGTCTAGACTACCGCGTTTTGTCGACGGAAGTTTTGTCGACAGATACTGTCGACAAAACTTCTGTCGACAAAGAGCATCCAGACACATTGAGTTCTGTCGACAAAGCAAGCTGCTTTGTCGACAGAACTCCGTAGTCTGGACGCAATGTTACAGGCAATAACACCTTCTGTCGACAGAGTTCTGTCGACAGAAGGTGTTATGCCTCGTAAAATGAGGTATACCAGCGTCGACAAAACTGCTTAGTTCTGTCGACGTTATGTCGACAGAACTCAGCGGTAGTGTAGACGCTGGTTTAGTTTTGTCGACAAAAGTCCACTTTTGTCGACAAAACTAGGTAGTCTAGACACACCCCAAGACAGGGGAGGGATGTGCCAGCACCCCCACTTCCGGCACCTACAGACGCTCACCACCTTGGCTGCTTCACCAGAGACCTCCCACAGCTAGCAAAAGGAGTGCTTACAGCAGACGCTAGAGCAAGGGTGTGAAAGATACTTTTCACTGGCCAGATCCAGCCCACCAAGCCACCAGACCTGGCCCATGGACACCCCTGCTGGGACTCTCAGGCATGCAGCTGCTGCTGTTTTAAACCCCCGACTGCTCTGTCTGTCTCTGCTCTAAATGGAGGGGGAGGCTTTGTATGATCTCCTGCCCCCCAGCCCAATCCTCAGCTCCTATTGGATGGTTGTTTCTGGAACCAGCTGGCCAATAGGAACTGACCTCAGCCAATCTCTCAGCTCCCATTGGCAGGAAACAACCAACCAATAGGAATTGAGAGATTGGTCTGGGGAAGGGGGGAAAACCTCTTTCTCCCCCCCCCCACC